ACAGTTCAACCGTTTTACTGATGAGTCCTGATGAGAGAATGAGCTCTGGTTTTCCTGTCTGCCTGGGTTTCTCTAACCTGGTTCTTCCCAACCGAGGAATGTTAAATAAGAGGCTGTCTGATTCACATTAGCAGTGCGTTTTCCACCAAAGCCCTGCCAGCTAACTTTAGAATGGAGCCTTGTGGTGCTCACTCGGCTTACTGTGCATGAGGTGATCCCTTTCCCCCCTCCTCTTTATCCTTTTTCTCTCTCCCACTCTCTCTCTTTCTCTTGCTTTCTCTCTTTTGCTTTTCTACCTCTTTGCCTCACACTCCATTTACCTTTCTTCATCCCTCTTTTCTCCCCACGTTCTGCCCCCTGTTGTATATTATTTTTAAATGGGTCAGCAGATGTTAGAAAAGGGAGCGATGGGGGAGGTAGAGAATGAGAGTGAGGGAGGGGGATAGGGATGGGGGAGAGAGATTGCCAAGACCAACAGTTTGGTTTTTCATGTGGGCGGAGAGCAATGGACCCCTAAGAGAAGGGAGCGTTCAGTTCCAGACTTCTCCTGCTCTGCACCCCACAGACTCTCATTTACATCTGAAAGATCCTGCAAAATATCATTCAATGAGGAGGAACATTTTACTCGTGTCTGTAAACAAATGTTTCCCCTTGAAGTGTTACTAATCATAGAATGCTACTCTTGGGCAACACTTACAGATCTCCAAGGCTGGCATTAAGTTACAGTGAAGGCTCATCTTGCATCTAATTAGCAGTTAGCAGGAGTTATGCTTGCATTCGGTTTGCAGTTTGAAAATATGGACCAATTAGCCATAATTATCAGTACAAACTCACTCCCCCGTTCTACAAGGTTAGCAAACTTTGTTTTTGAGGCCATAAGCTGATGTTTGTTATGTATTCCTTGAACTCCCCCATGTAAGCCCAGGCAATGTCCATGGTATTGTGTAAAGGCACTGAATCTTGGAGAGGGACTAACAGGAGAGGTCCATCCATCCAATCTGTCTGGGTGACTCAGAGAAAAATAGATGATGCAGCCTGCCACCCGGGACTTTACGTTTTTGCCCCAGATTTACGAGCACGCACCAAACATGATGCTTCACTTGCACAAACAATGATTTCATACAAATAACAGGCACAGCAACACCATTTCAGTAAAGTGTTGCGCAACAACATCAAAGCAGTGTACAGCACATAGGCCGTGTCTACACTTGACACTTACGTGCAACTTCTGCTATCAGAATATGAAGATCACATTGAAAAGACTGGTCTAGAAAAGTCGTATCGTGGTCGGATTGTGTTCAGATCTGGTTAACCACCTCAGGAAGTGGTTGTGAGCTGATTTCTCCTCAGTCTGGACGCAATCAGGCTGACGAAAGCGCATACAGTGGGCGACGTCATCAGCACTTCGTCCACAAGTCAGAAAACGTGTTTTTAGGAGCGAGAGGCACCTTTTTCCATCAAACGTTGGAGGAAATACATTCCTAGCATGTGAGGAATGTGTTTGATGGCTTCATAAATGCTAGCAAGCAAACTTATTTAGCTTTGATAGCTAGCTTGCTGGCTAGCTACAGCGGTTAGCTGGCTAGTTAGCTACAGGAGTTGCTACCGCCATAAAGTTGTTGTTGTGTGATTATCAGATTTAACCTGTTCCACCGTTTGCAGGATGCATACTGCATTTGAATATAGTGCGGGAACAGGGAATTCGAACACAATGTGGACACGGTAGACACATTTTAAATGTAGGTGTAGACGCATGACATGTTCGGAATTCCATGATCAGAATACAATAGCTGCATGAACTTTCAAGTCTAGACATTGCCATAGTTACAGCTTTAGCATAGCAAACAACCTAGGAAAACATTTTACTGCATCCTACTTTAATTTAACATATATATTTATATATTCTAATATGCATTAGTGTAGTAAATAAAATCATAAGCTCTGTTCAGCAACAAATTCACATTGAAAAGTCTTTCACCCAATAAAACTCCAAAAGGAGGAGGACAGGGGAGGATTGGGGAGATGGACAGACTGAAAGATTGGCTGGACCTAGGGAACAGTCAGTCGGCTGGCGTGGCGTGGTTGGCCTGGAGTTCCAAATATAATCTGCTGAGTCATTCACTGAATCCCACTTGTAGGCAAAGCCCTGGTCTGGTCTAGTCTACTCTGGCTGGGCAGCCCTGGGCAGGAGTTTGGCTGAGGCCCTAAGTACTCTAATAAGAAGACGATTAGCCTTTAAACAGATTTATATTAAATAGAGCCATGCAGATGAACGTTTTGGAGAGTGTAGCATTCTCGAACAGGCCCTTTTGAACTACAGCAGGGCTTCCTCATCCTGGTCCTGGGGACCTACTGTGGTGCACTGTTTTGTTCCTGCCCAGCAACAACACACCTGATTCAGTTAATCAAGGGCTTGGTTAGATGATCAATTGAATCTGGTGTGTAGCCTTAGTGCTGGGCTAGAACAAATAGTGCACCCATGTGGGTCCCCAGGACCAAGAAACTCGGACCTACAGTCTAACTTCCTGCTCACATTTCCCATTGGTTTAACCCATCCTCTGCTTCCCTGTCTCAGCATACAGTACGTTGTCATGCCACCAACTTCACACTGACCAGAGCTGTAGTCTGGTATAATTGTTGTCCTTCTGGTGTAGTTGTGTGTGTGGATAAGTAGTCATTTGGCCAATCCCAACCAGGGTAATGATGTGTTTGCACTTCCCCCTGCTGTGCCCTGACAAAGCAGACTCTTAGACAGCGGTTCACTGTTTATTCCCCAAGAGTTGTACACGTTTCTCTGTGGTTGAACCTGTGTCTAAAACTGCTGCACAGGGCACATCTGTATATAGAATCAGGATGATGTGATGGCGTTTGAAGGAAGAGTTGTGGTAGAACACTACAACAACGATAGATGGGGAAGGAGAGGTGGGATAGAAGAGATTCATTGAAAAGGTGCAGTACAGGCCTTTGTGGCTTTGTTCAGTGCAATTTTAATGTTCTAAGAAAAGTACCTCCGCTATTCTGCTTTTTACTGTTGGTCTAAATCAGGGATCATCAACTAGATTCAGCCGCAGGCTTCTTGAGCGGATGGTCAGCTGGAATATAATTTGAAATAATTTGTAGACTGCAAATTGACCGCAAGAAGCCCAAACAGATAAAATATTTGACTAAAACATGATCATTTCAAACCTTGCTTACATTTGTATACAATCTCTCTATTATGCGTGGGAATATTTTGGAACAGATTTCCAAAATTAAAATCACATGGAGCTGATTTGCTGCCGTTTTTACGGTCTTTTATGTCTAACAATAAAATATATACTGCTCAAAAAAATAAAGGGAACACTTAAACAACACAATGTAACTCCAAGTCAATCACACTCCTGTGAAATCAAACTGTCCACTTAGGAAGCAACACTGATTTGACAATACATTTCACATGCTGTTGTGCAAATGGAATAGACAACAGGTGGAAATTATAGGCAATTAGCAAGAGACCCCCAATAAAGAAGTGGTTCTGCAGGTGGTGACCACAGACCACTTCTCAGTTCCTATGCTTCCTGGCTGATGTTTTGGTCACTTTTGAATGCTGGCGGTGCTTTCACTCTAGTGGTAGCATGAGACGGAGTCTACAACCCACACAAGTGGCTCAGGTAGTGCAGCTCATCCAGGATGGCACATTAATGCGAGCTGTGGCAAGAAGGTTTGCTGTGTCTGTCAGCGTAGTGTCCAGAGCATGGAGGCGCTACCAGGAGACAGGCCAGTACATCAGGAGACGTGGAGGAGGCCGTAGGAGGGCAACAACCCAGCAGCAGGGCCACTACCTCCGCCTTTGTGCAAGGAGGAGCAGGAGGAGCACTGCCAGAGCCCTGTAAAATGACCTCCAGCAGGCCACAAATGTGCATGTGTCTGCTCTAACGGTCAGAAACAGACTCCATGAGGGTGGTATGAGGGCCCGACGTCCACAGGTGGGGGTTGTGCTTACAGCCCAACACCGTGCAGGACGTTTGGCATTTGCCAGAGAACACCAAGATTGGCAAATTCGCCACTGGCGCCCTGTGCTCTTCACAGATGTAAGCAGGTTCACACTGAGCACATGTGACAGACGTGACAGAGTCTGGAGACGCCGTGGAGAACGTTCTGCTGCCTGCAACATCCTCCAGCATGACCGGTTTGACGGTGGGTCAGTCATGGTGTGGGGTGGCATTTCTTTGGGGGGCCGCACAGCCCTCCATGTGCTCGCCAGAGGTAGCCTGACTGCCATTAGGTACCGAGATGAGATCCTCAGACCCCTTGTGAGACCATATGCTGGTGCGGTTGGCCCTGGGTTCCTCCTAATGCAAGACAATGCTAGACCTCATGTGGCTGGAGTGTCAGTAGTTCCTGCAAGAGGAAGGCATTGATGCTATGGACTGGCCCGCCCGTTCCCCAGACCTGAATCCAATTGAGCACATCTGGGACATCATGTCTCGCTCCATCCACCAACGCCACGTTGCACCACAGACTGTCCAGGAGTTGGCGGATGCTTTAGTCCAGGTCTGGGAGGAGATCCCTCAGGAGACCATCCGCCACCTCATCAGGAGCATGCCCAGGCGTTGTAGGGAGGTCATCCAGGCACGTGGAGGCCACACACACTACTGAGCCTCATTTTGACTTGTTTTAAGGACATTACATCAAAGTTGGATCAGCCTGTAGTGTGGTTTTCCACTTTAATTTTGAGGGTGACTCCAAATCCAGACCTCCATGGGTTGATAAATTTGATTTCCATTTGATTAATTTTTGTGTGATTTTGTTGTCAGCACATTCAACTATGTAAAGAAAAAAGTATTTAATAAGATTATTTCATTCATTCAGATCTAGGATGTGTTGTTTGTCTTCCCTTTATTTTTTTTAGCTATATATATAAAATATTTTTGCTCAGAAAACTTGGGGGGCCAAATAAAATCGGGCTGTCAGTTGGGGAGCTCTGGCTAAATCATGTTTTGTCCCTGTCTGTGTTTTAGGTCCGCACAGCCGTGTGTCGCGGTGCCCCCCCAATGAGTACCAGTGTGGGGGGATCGAGCTCTGTATCCACATGAGCAAACTGTGCAACGGGGTTCCAGACTGTACCGATGGCTGGGACGAGGGTCCGCACTGCAGAGGTACTGAACACACACCCACCCTCACTTCCTCCCTCCCTCAGTGCCTCTCTCCCTCCATCTCCCACTGTTCAATTAGCCTGTACAGATAGTGTATTGTATTTGTCCCCTAACCCTCCCCCATACATTCTCCGCCCAGGCAGGGAATCTTGCAGCACTACAATGGAGGGGAGGTGGCCTGGCCATGGCAGATTGATTCTAACATGGCTTATCCTCCTACCCCCACATTAATGTACACAGCACATGCATGCTGCCCACATCAAAGACATCACTCCATCTATAAAATTGGATTATGATTATGACGGATTACTGCAGACTTACATGTAACGAAACATGTGTGGGACTATAATAACATTACTTAGTTTATTTTTCCACCAAGCATTGTTGAACTCCCATGGGGTTTTGCAAGTCTGGCTACCTACGGTATTTTCCTATTTCTGGCCCTGGTTTACTATTATTGACCTGAATGTGTTTAATGTATAGTACAAAGGGGACAGATACATGTTATACATTTAAAATTATTAAAAACATTAAAGCTAAATTATTAAGTGAATTGTTTGAAAAGGTCTTTGCCCTCATCTAATGTAAGGTTATAGAAAGCTGTCCCCATCTCGATCTTTCTCTCTCCCCCTTTCCCCCTCTCACTAATCTCTGTACACTACTCCTCTTTCATCCCCCTCTTTTCTTTAATTAGCCCCCACCCCTCTCTCTCTTTCTGTCCATCCTTATTATCACACGCTTATGTTGTTCTTTTCTCATGGGAGAAAACATGTATTATCAAATCATTGAAGATGTTGTTGTCATGGCTATACTGCCCATACTGTAGCTACAGCGCTGTAAGCAGGGTTGGGTGGTGTTAGGTGTGAGTGTATGAAGCAGGTCAGACTTCTGTGTGTGTGTGTGTTTGTTTGTTTGTTTGTTTGTTTGTTTGTCGGTTTGTGTCTGTGAGCACACTGACTCTGGCTTTTGCAAAACAAAAACTGGGAGCACACTCAAATCATGATTATCCAGCCTGGATTACCTTTTTTCCAGATTAACTGTGCCAACGAAAGTTCCTAACTGAAGACACATGCTGATTCTGATTTGGTTGGCCAAACGGAGAGAAAGAAAAATATGATCATGTGAAAAGCAGGGTTTCCCAAACTCGGTCCTGGGGCCCCCCTGGGTGCACGTTTTGGTTTTTGCCCCAGCACTACACAGCTGATTCAAATAATCAAAGCTTGATGATGAGTTGGTTATTTTAATCAGCTGTGTAGTGCTAGGGCAAAAACCAAAACATGCACCCGGGGGGGCCCCGCGATTGGGGAAACTCTGAGCTAGAGGACAGGGTGGCTGGATAGATGGTGTTAGCTGAAGCGCTAAAGGTCGTCTAATACCAATGGCTGGCATAATCCAGGAATGGGTCATGGTTGGCCAATGGCATAAACTGGAGAGGGGTAAAAAATGGTACCTTAGTACTAAGGGCTGGGAATTGCCAGGGACCTCACGATACAATATTATCATGGTACTTAGGAGCGATATGATATGTATTGCGATACTCATGATTCTATATGTATTGCGATTCCATACTGCGATTTTATTGCGATTTAATGTTCCAAACATATTGCTCACCATGTCTGCTGCAGACGGACAAGAGAGAGCATGAGAAAATGAATTTTGATCAGTCATGGAAAGAAAAGTGCTGAAAACATGTTGACTCACTACTTAAAAAGAACAAGATATAGGATAAAAAATAGCCAAGTTTTTGCGCGAAGTATCAATATAACATCGTCCAAAATAATACTGTGATATGTAACTATCTATTACCAATCACTACCTATTACTAGACTATAATATTTGAGTATCTCTTGTACAGTTCTTCTGTGCTGTACTGTGTGCACAAGGAAATGTGCACACACATTCTCTTGCATACATACTGTAGTCACACCAACACATACTCACTCACTCTCTCTTTCACACAGTCTACACACACACACACACACACACGTGTGTATGTGTTAGTGTAACTATAGGATTTTAACACGTGTGCTCAACACCACAACCACTTCTTTGGATCCCATGAGACACCTGTCACCTCAATTCCCATCCCTTCATCCTTCTATCCCTCCACCCCTTCAGAGGGAAGGCGAGCGAAGGATGAAATATTTATGACAGTAACACGGAGAGAGGAGGGACATCAAATTTTCATGCTGCTTCACGCTGGCAGGGCTTTGAGTGGTGTGTGGGTGGGTGCGTGCGCTCGCGTTCGACTCCATAGGCCAGCTTCAATCTTCCTAGGTAGTCAAATGCCAGGTTAGCGGGGGGGTTACCCATCCTTCATATATTCCTCACGGTTATCAGAGTGCTCACGTCAATATACTTGGTGCCCTGGTGTTTAAAATGGGGGGTGCCCTGATTTGTTATCGGAATGCAGGGACTCTACAAGGTGTCCACAAGTGTTCCACAGGGATGCTGGCCCATGTTGACTCCAATGATTCCCATAATTGTGTGAAGTTGGCTGGATGTCTTTTGGGTGGTGGACCATTCTTAATACACACAGGAAACTGTTGAGTGTGAAAAACCCAACAGCGTTGCAGTTCTTGACACAAACCGGTGCACCTGGCACCTACTACCATACCCTGTTCAAATGCACTTAAATCTTTTGTCTTGCCCATTCACCCTCTGAATGGCACACACACACAATCATTGTCTCAAGGCTTAAAAATATTTTTTAAACCTGTCTCCTCCCCTCCTACACTGATTTGATGTGGATTTAACAAGTGACATCAATAAGGGATCATAGTTTTCACCTGGATTCACCTGGTCAGTATATGTCATGGAAGAGCAGGTGTCCTTAATGTTTTATACACTCATTGTACCTTGATCTGCAATGGGGCTTATTCCCTATTGGTGTGTCTGCATTGCTGTACCCCCATTGTAACACAGTGACATTGAGGTGGTGGTATGATTTATGGTACATCTTATAAGTTACGCCTGCTAGTGCTACTACAGAACTTTTAGAAGTTTGATAAGGCAATGTAGCTATGGATTGCCACCGGCAACGGGCAAATGTGCTGACTTGTGTTTCATATTTTGTGCTACTCAACAATACTGTTCTGAACTGTGGTAAACAAACAGAGAAGCCAGTAACTTTAGGTGCACCACCTTTAAGAACAAACTCTTAGTTTGAAACTTTAGTGTTCTCTGTCTCTCTGTCTGTCTCTCGCTCTCGCTCTGTCCCTCTCTGTCTCTCTCACTCTCGCTCTCTCTGTGTGTCTCTGTCTCTCTCTCGCTCTCTGTCTCTCTCTCGCTCTCTGTCTCTCTCTCGCTCTCTCTGTCTCTCTCTCGCTCTCTCTGTGTGTCTCTGTCTCTCGCTCTCTCTGTCTCTCTCTCGCTTTCTCTGTGTGTCTCTGTCTCTCTCTCTCTCTCTGTCTCTCTCTCACTCTCGCTCTCTCTGTGTGTCTCTGTCTCTCGCTCTCTCTGTCTCTCTCTCACTCTCGCTCTCTCTGTGTGTCTCTGTCTCTCTCTCGCTCTAGCTGTGTGTCTGTCTCTCTCGCTCTCTCTGTGTGTCTGTCTCTCTCTGTCTGTCTGTCTCTCGCTCGCTCTGTCTGTCTCTCGCTCGCTCTGTCTGTCTCGCTCGCTCTGTCTCTCTCGCTCGCTCTGTCTCTCTCGCTCGCTCTGTCTCTCTCGCTCGCTCTGTCTCTCTCTCTCGCTCTGTCTCTCTCTCTCGCTCTGTCTCTCTCTCTCGCTCTGTCTCTCTCTCTCGCTCTGTCTCTCTCTCTCGCTCTGTCTCTCGCTCTGTCTCTCTCTCTCGCTCTGTCTCTCTCTCTCTCGCTCTGTCTCTCTCTCTCTCGCTCTGTCTCTCTCTCTCTCGCTCTGTCTCTCTCTCTCTCTCGCTCTGTCTCTCTCTCTCTCGCTCTGTCTCTCGCTCTGTCTCTCTCTCTCTCGCTCTGTCTCTCTCTCTCTCGCTCTGTCTCTCGCTCTCTCTCTCTCTCTCGCTCTGTCTCTCTCTCTCTCGCTCTGTCTCTCTCGCTCTGTCTCTCACATTGACAGTGTGAATGGGCTGGTGTTGCCCTTAAACGGTGTGAGTGATAGATATCATCCAGATCTGATGTGACCGCTGCTGTTTTGTCTCTGCTGCTCTGACTCAGAACACTGGCCCGGCATATGCAGATTTTCTCACAGGATGTAGTGGTGACAACTCGTGACTCCGTGAGATGACGGAGAGGTGTGTCAAGGTGTGAGCGTGTGACAGCAATATTAAGGTGTGTATGGATGAACGATTCATAGTGTGGAAGTGCATGTCTGCAGTGTTTGTGTGTGTTTGAGGTCCGCCTTGGCACAGTCCTGCCTATGAGGGATTGATTAGTGCTGGGCTGCAGTGTTTGCCTGTGGATTTATCTCCCTGGCCAGGCACACAAAAAACCCATTTCTCTGTATATCCCTTTACCAACCATTTACCCCCCCCCCCCCCCCCCCCCCCCCCCCCCCCCCCCCCCAACCCACTCTTTAACATGCACACATACATTCCTACATACAGACTTCTCCTCTCTGGGGTGTGAGTACAGTTCACTGGGTTTTGGGAGCATTGATTGCCCATAGGAAGCTGAGAGCTGCACTTTTTCCAAGGCCCAGGGGCTCATTTTGCATCCCCAGGCTTTCCTGCTTCCTTATGCCAAGAGGCAAGCCCCCAGCTCTGGGTCTGGTGTGACAGACAATGTCCTATATGACTAGAGCCTGGGCTATTGATTCCTACATATAAAATGACTGTTCTGCAGTTTTCAGAGTGATTTAATGTCCATGATGGACAGACACATCTAAGGGAAAGATGATTGACCTACATGGCAACAAAGGCTGAGCTAGGGAAAGGGAAGGGGGATACCTATTTTTTATTTATTAGGATCCCCATTAGCCGACGCCAATGGTGACAGCTAGTCTTATTAGGGTCAGACACATAACGGAAAATAAATTACAGACAAAATACTTTACAATTGACATTTAAAAACATTAACATGTAGTGTGTGTGCATCTATCAGTTACACATACATGTCAGTACATACACACAACAAGTAGGTCACACAATTTGGAATTCCCCCCCCCCCAAAAAAAAGAAGTGATGCATTCAGTCTTACCTCAACAATAAGCCAAGAGAGACTGGCATGCAACCGAAATGTGTTTTCTGCATTTAACCCAAGCCCTCTGAATCAGAGCGGTGCGGGGGCTTCCTTAATCGACGTCATCGGCGCAGTTGTTGAGGGTTAACTGCCTTGCTCAAGGGCAGAACAAATTTTCCACCTTGCCAGCTCGGGGATTCGAACAAGCAACTTTTTGGTTACTGTCCCAATGCTCTAACCGCTAGGCTACCTGCCGTCCCCAGCTAGTCAGTCTTCCAGGGTTGTGAAAACCAAGTAGGCTATTTTGCAGCAGACACACTGAGAGCAATGAGAGTACACTACTTCACTGTCTCATCTACAGATATATATTCCTTAAAGTAATATCCTTGTAATTATGTAATATTTATATATTCCCCTTTCTGTCATGCCCATACCCTCTTCCTGCTCCCTTCTCCACCGCTCCCCACCCTCCTCTACCCTCCTCCACCCCATCCCTTGTTTCTACAGACATTGCCTCTCAATTGCTCCTCAAAGTGACCCCAACATATCCTTTCCTATCTCTCCTCCCTTCTCCCTCTCTCCCTGTCGCTCTACAGAATTCGCCACCAACTGCACTCTGTCGAGTTGCCAGGACAACTGTTCGGTGACTCCGTCGGGCGCTGCATGTTACTGTAAGAGTGGATATGAAATAGGGCTGGATGGCAAAACATGTAAAGGTGAGGTCCACCAACCGGGAAACCTTTAGCCATCTAGACACTGTGACAACCTACAGCCTGCTATTGGCTTTATAAACAGTAGGCCTGGCCTATACCTAATTTAAAAAGTCTGGTGGGCAATTATTCCTGGTCAAAGGACCATGAAAAAGAGCTGGAGGGTTTTTGTGCACTAACTATAGCTAACCAGATGTGATTGTCCCATGTATAATCTACTGTGTGTTGTGGTCAGATTTTGACGAGTGCAGTGTGTACGGTACCTGCAGCCAGTCCTGTACCAACACAGAGGGCTCCTACACCTGCAGCTGTGTGGAGGGCTACCTGCCCCAGCCCGACAACCGCTCCTGCAAGGCCAAAAATGGTAGGTATTAACCACCTGTCACCACTACAACCACTCACCTCTTTTTTTTTCTCAACGGTCCCCTCAATGCTTTCCAGGGGGCTTTTGATCTAGTGTAAATATACTGTGCGGAATTCTTATGAGCTGTTGAACACCTACTTTTACACACCCCTCACACTCCTCTCCTAGTCCCAGTAGAAAGGAACTCGGTGCTGCTGATCGCCAACAGTCAGAACATCCAGGCCACGTCTCTGAGCGGCACCACGATCAGCCTGCTGTCCACCACCACCAAGCAGACCACTGCCATGGACTTCCTTTACGCCCAGGAGCAGGTGTGCTGGATCCACGTTGGCGACACGTCCTCCTCCACCCACCTCAAGTGTGCCAAGATCCCCAACCTCAAGAGCTTCGCTGACGAGAGGGTCATCAACATCTCCCTCAGCCTGCACCGTGAGTACACTGTAGTATAGTATGCTATACACTATAAAAGGTCACACTTTATTTGGATAGTCCCATATAGATGATCTATAGATGGCCATACTATCAACAAACTCTCTGTTGATAAGCAACTTTCTAAGGTTAGGGTTAGTTGAAATGTTGTTGACAGTTATTGAACATATACTTAACATCTACTTGGGACTATCCAAATAAAGTGTTACCCTATAAAATAGTACCCCATACAATATCAACATCTGCCTCACTATAGTGTAGTACAGTATAATACACCATCTCACTCTGCCTGCACTGTGGGTACACTGTAGGATAGTATAGTACAGTAAGATACAGTATAGTATTACTACGTAACTATACAATACAGTATAGTACACTACATCATCTCACACCACACTGCTCAAGGATGCTACAGTGAGTAACAGTCAGATAATACACCAACAGCTACACCTTCAAGTACATTAACATCTACACCGTGAGAACAGCAAACAGTTAGTACAATAGAGTACCCTCTGTTACAGCAGCCCAGCATGAAGAGTTGAGTAGAGTACACTGAGTACACTCCCTCGGTTTGTCTGCACCAGTCAACAGTTGAATATGACATACTGTAGCAGTTCTACACAGCGTGTGTGTGGGGTGCTAGAAACGGTGTGTGTGTGGGGTGCTAGAAACGGCGTGTGTGTGTGCCTGCGTTTTGTGTGTCTGTGGGTGTGTGTTAACACTGTAGCTGGGTTGTGTAACGACCAGTTTGGAAGAATGCCGAAGCAAGTTCTCTTCCAGTAAAAAGGAAGGAAAAACATGTGTGTATGAGCGTGTGTTTAGCTTATAGGTCCCCCGTCTCCACTCCCTCCCTCCCTCTCTCCCTCCCTCCCATCTTGCCTCCCTCCCTACCTCCCCCAATTTACTGCACACTCATGGCCTGGTTTTAGAGGAGACTTTCCACTATGAATCAGAGTAAAAACAGTCACTACATGCAGTACTGGTACATACCTGTTTATTACAGGTCCCCTTATGGACTACACAGGACAACATTTAAGTTTTAAATGAGTATGATTAGAATTTACACACATTTTATATTTTCATAGTAGAAACGTAGCAGCTCTCTTTCCCTCTCCCACATATACACACACACACACACACACACACACACACACACACACACACACACACACACACACACAGTGGTGGCCATAGCTGGTGTTTAGTGTGTCAGAACAGAGGCAGAGTGGGGTAAACAAGCAGACCTCGACAGCTTTAATTCATCAACCTACAGAGACTGACCTCACACATACACACTCTACTGCGTCAGTTTAGAGATACTTCACCCCTGAACCTCAAACTATTATCCCTCCCCTCCCCCTCCCTCGTCTCACCCCTTTCCTGTCTAATTGAGCAGTAGATCGCCTGGCTGTGTGTATGTGCAGATTCTGAACCAAAGGAATGTGCAGGAAATTCCAACAGCTTCAGCTAGATTCTCCCCCTTTCTCTGCCTGACGCGCACACGTGTGAGTGAGAGAGAGAGAGGAGTGAGAGAGAAAAACAAATAAATATAGCTCTTCTAAAACTGCCACACATTTTTGAGGATATGTTGTCTCTGTCCCCCTTATTGCTGTTATTTTCACTAAAACCCTTAGAATAGAAGCTATGACTTTTAGCTAGTTATCCATCCACTCTTATGTATATTTCATCTGTTTCTTTCTGTAATATGTTAATTGTTTCTTTTATTTTCCTATCTGTTTATCAGATTGGAATCTTGACTGTGCACTAGAGAGTTGTTGGTAATATGACACAGTCTGAGAGTGTTTGTCAACGCTCCAGTGCTAGCTAGCCTAGCCCTCAGAGACTAAGCTAGGGAGAGTTGATAGTTTGCTGAGGCTCTTGGCGTGTCAGTGTGACAGCGAATGAACAGGCCTCGCTCGCTGTGTCGACACAGCCGGGTCGAGCAGGCAGCCAACGGCAGGGGTCGTCACATAGGACATGATGCGTTTGCGGTCGCAGTGATTCATGACCTCGGCATGCCACACAGATGAGCTCTTCCTGCGCCCTCTTTTTTTAATCTCTTTCTTTCTCACTTTCTCTGTGTATATCCCCCTTACTATCTTACCTACCTCTAATACTCACCTTTCTATCCCCCCTAACACATTTGGTCGTAGCATTCAACAATGTTAGCTTAGAGAGAATACAGCATTAACCATTTACTCTCGTGGGAATTGGCCTATATGTGTATGTGGGGAGAACAAGTATTTGATACACTGCCGATTTTACAAAGCATGTAGAGGTCTGTAATTTTTATCATAGGTACACTTCAACTGTGAGAGACGGAATCTAAAACAAAAATCCAGAAAATCACATTGTATGATTTTTAAGTAATTAATTTGCATTTTATTGCATGACATAAGTATTTGATACATCAGAAAAGCAGAACTTAATATTTGGTACAGAAACCTTTGTTTGCAATTACAGAGATCATATGTTTTCTGTAGGTCTTGACCAGGTTTGCACACACTGCAGCAGGGATTTTGACCCACTCCTCCATACAGACCTTCTCCAGATCCTTCAGGTTTCGGGGCTGTCGCTGGGCAATACGTACTTTCAGCTCCCTCCAAAGATTTTCTATTGGGTTCAGGTCTGGAGACTGGCTAGGCCACTCCAGGACCTTAAGATGCTTCTTACGGAGCCACTCCATAGTTGCCCTGGCTGTGTGTTTCGGGTCGTTGTCATGCTGGAAGACCCAGCCACGACCCATCTTCAATGCTCTTACTGAGGGAAGGAGGTTGTTGGCCAAGATCTCGCGATACATAGCCCCATCCATCCTCCCCTCAATACGGTGCAGTCGTCCTGTCCCCTTTGCAGAAAAGCATCCCCAAAGAATTATGTTTCCACCTCCATGCTTCACGGTTTGGATGGTGTTCTTGGGGTTGTACTCATCCTTCTTCCTCCAAACACGGCGAGTGGAGTTTAGACCAAAAAGCTCTATTTTTGTCTCATCAGACCACATGACCTTCTCCCATTCCTCCTCTGGATCATCCAGATGGTCATTGCCAAACTTCAGACGGGCCTGGACATGCGCTGGCTTGAGCAGGGGGACCTTGCTTGCGCTGCAGGATTTTAATCCATGACGGCGTAGTGTGTTACTAATGATTTTCTTTGAGACTGTGGTCCCAGCTCTCTTTAGGTCATTGACCAGGTCCTGCCGTGTAGTTCTGGGCTGATCCCTCACCTTCCTCATGATCATTGATGCCCCACGAGGTGAGATCTTGCATGGAGCCCCAGACCGAGGGTGATTGACCGTCATCTTGACCTTCTTCCATTTTCTAATAATTGTGCCAACAGTTGTTGCCTTCTCACCAAGCTGCTTGCCTATTGTCCTGTAGCCCATCCCAGCCTTGTGCAGGTCTACAATTTTATCCCTGATGTCCTTACACATCTCTCCGGTCTTGGCCATTGTGGAGAGGTTGGATTCTGTTTGAGTGTGTGGACAGGTGTCTTTTATACAGGTAACGAGTTCAAACAGGTGCAGTTAATACAGGTAATGAGTGGAGAACAGGAGGGCTTCTTAAAGAAAAACTAACAGGTCTGTGAGAGCCGGAATTCTTACTGGTTGGTAGGTGATCAAATACTTATGTCATGCAATAAAATGCAAATTAATTACTTAAAAATCATACAATGTGATTTTCTGGATTTTTGTTTTAGATTCCGTCTCTCACAGTTGAAGTGTACCTATGATAAAAAATTACAGACCTCTACATGCTTTGTATGTAGGAAAACCTGCAAAATCGGCAGTGTATCAAATACTTCTTCTCCCCACTGTAGATAGGGCTACATTTAAATGTTTCTTACAGAATATGGAAAGCATATGCATAACCATGGTAGCAATTAAAAGGGAACAGTTTGGAGATTATGGGGATATTATTAGACTAAAGGTGAGGACACAACAGTTCACCTGACACAAGACTGAATCCAATCATTACACTGTTGGTTTTATGTGCATTTCGATGCATTTGTTGATAACGAAATCTGACCATATTATTCGTAGAAGAAAATTGGGTTAGGTGCAACATAAGTCCCCTGTAGCTCAGTTGGTAGAGCATGGCGCTTGCAACGCCAGGGTTGTGGGTTTGTTTCCCACGGGGGGCCAGTATGAAAAATGTATGCGCTCACTAACTGTAAGTCGCTCTGGATAAGAGCGTCTGCTAAATGACTAAAATGTAAAAATAAGACCAAAACAATTATAAGGGTTTGAGTGAGAGGACTAACTGGTGTCTCCAAGTGTGCAAAGTGGGCACAGTTCCTAAGTAATTTCAATGCGCTTTTATGACTCAAAGAAGAGTCTTCAACTATAAGGTGCTTTTTGAGCTCTCCTAGCTGTGTTGTTGAGGAATTAGGGCAAACACACTTGTAGTTGTTTTGTTTGGAACACAGCCCTGAATCCCTGCCTTTACACAATTACTGTCGTTGTTTACGCAATCCAAAAACGGTCCATTATATATTGCAATCTGGGTCAATTGGTCATAATTTGAAAGCTTGTTCTATTGCCAACATGACTAGCTAAATTATAAAATATGATCTTAGTGTTAGGCTTTCACAAGGCGAAGCAGATCGTAATTCTGGTGCGCATAGAATGGATTCATGAGCGCATTCAGATACTTTTGGTCATGTAGTGTATGTGGACAACTGCTCGTCGAACATCTCATTCCAAAATCATGGGCATTAATATGGAGTTGATCCCCCCCTTTGCTGCTATAACAGCCTCCACTCTTCTGAGAAGGCTTTCCACTAGATGTTGGAACATTGCTGCGGGGACTTGCTTCCATTCAGCCACAAGAGTGTTAGTGAGGTCGGGCACTGATGTTGGGCGATTAGGCCTGGCCCGTATTCGGCGTTCCAATTCATCACAAAGGTGTTCGATGGGGTTGAGGTCAGGGCTCTGTGCAGGCCAGTCAAGTTCTTCCACACCGATCTCGAAAAACCATTTCTGGATGGACCTCGCTTTGTGCACGGGGGCATTGTCATGCTG